AATTCTTTATCAAAAAGGGAAAGTGGAAATTTTAATTGGAACGAACAAAAAAAAATTGTAAGTTATAATAGGAACGGAGTAGGAGTACTATTTTAAATTATGTTTAGTACACCCAATGAAGCAAGGAAGGAAATGATGAAAAACAACGAGATTCACTTTCCCGTTCCTCCAAAACCCACGTAGCGCAGTAGCCTCGCCAGAGTCTAGCAGTGAAGGAGAAGAAGACAGAAGACTTGTGGCTGTCGTCCAGAGACGGCTTGAGCATTTTGGAGGCCCCAGACGAAAAATATTTACTATGTACAAATCACTTTTAAAATCAGATAAATTGAATAAAATTCGCCTTATGAAAAAAGCATATTCAAAGTCCACGATATAATGTTTGTAATATTCAAAAGGAATAATTTTAAAATGCAAACTTATTCAAAACACAAGGCAAACTTGTATTTGTAAAAGTATTAAGAGACTTCAAGAACGAGACTCAGAGAGAAGAGCTGAAGAGTCTTAGCTGATTCACTAACCAAGGACGCATTTCGACGGCGGGCAATGAGGCATATATACAGTAGCCGATTAGCGGTCTCTGTTGGACGTTGATGCGTTTTGAGATCGGATTTTGATAGTTTTTTCCTAACTTTAAGGTGTCATAAGTCTCAATTTTAAGCTCAAGTCATATTTATCGGCCGTTGATTCGAGTTTTGGTATTTTTGGAGTCAAAATCAGGGAATTTGAGCCTGGCACTGGTGTTTGAGAAGAAATAGGGACGAGTTGAGAAGCATTTTAGAGTTGATTAGGAGTATTGGAGATCAGTGAGGTATTAAAGACAATGTTTTGAAGACAAAAGAGCTCTAGAATTGGCTACGAGATCAAAAGAAGACGAATAGAGCTTGAAAACAACGGTCAGGATGACGTTCTGTCAATCGTTCAAGCATATCTTTTCTTAGGAACATCCAAAAAACATGATTCAAGTTTCATATGAAAACCAACTTCAAGGGCTACAAATCATATGAAGACACCATTGTGAGAATCGGAGAGAAGCAAGGTGAAAACAGACGATGAAGTCAGACAACCTCTGTTGAGATTTCAGAATGCGACCTTCCACCATTTTATTCATATATTTTTATTGGATGGTTCAAATCCATTTTTGTAAGTTGTGTTGGATAGAAGACTTAATTAGATACAACTTTGATGAAGGACAAATAGTCAGAAGTGAACTATAAAGCTGATTTCTGCTTGCAGTTGCCGCTTAGTGTATTGGCGGTCTACGAATAACACCTAATACTAATATCGGAGTAGAATTTTTTGGAGGCCCCCTTGGTAGTTGAGGCCCAAGGCAGTTGCCTGGCCCAACTGCCCTCAAAGCCGCCCCTGCTGTCATCCTAACCGCTAAGCCCTTCCGTCCCAGAAAGCGAATGGGTGTAGGGAGGAAGAAAGAAAGAGGAAAGAATAAAGAGAAAAAAGAGAAGAAAAAAGAGAGAAAAAAAAGATGCAATATATGACACCACATATGATAAAAAAAAACATCACACCACATTCCACATAAACATGTTTATCGGATGACTCTGGGTTTTAACCTGTTTTAATTTTTTGGAAGAATATGACATATTAAAATAACAAAACTTAAGCAAATTACAAAACTATGAAAAAATAAACTTCTATCTACTGTCTATCATCGAAGCAGACTTAGAAACTATAACCTCCGTAGAAGCAATAAGATTCGTTGATCCTGCAATGGGTTTAACTCAACCAATGATAAACAAACCAGACTTCTCATCACCTGACTTAAATTCTAGAACTTTTCTGCTAGGAAATAAAAACACACCCAAATCAACATGCACCTCGAAATAAAAACACAAACAAAATAAAACGGAATTAAGACATGGTCCACTCATCTTCTTCTAGCCCCTAGACACTCTTGCATTCCATGGCAGCGATTCAGGAGGGGACGAGCCACCGGAAACGTCTGCTCCATGCGGTCCGCAACGACCTCCTCATTGAGCACCAGGTCGTCATCCCCAGTCCCGATCTCCGAACTGTCGCACTGCCCGATCCACTTTTCCATCTGTCATGCACTCGTCAATGCCATCTCTTTGCCGCTTCTATCCACCTAAAACCCGCTGCCCGACTCTTCGTTCTCATCCGCACCAATTAAGAATGTCGAAGAGCGATCGACGCTACGTGCGATTCGCGCAATCTCAAAGATCGGCGAAAAGGGAAACCCTAGCTAGAGGGAACGGTCACCCTCGTGACTCATGATTAACCTATTAAAAAGTTGGTTTGAATTGTTTTTATGTTGGGGTATGTAATTGGTGATATTTGAGTTGGAGTCTAAGAGCCCGTTTGGTAGCATGAAGATAGGCTGATTTGGCTTATTCTGCTAAAATTTATGAAGTTCTGGCTGAAGTAGCGTATTGGCTGATTCTGCTGATTTAAGAAAAAAATATTTATAAAATATATTTTATTAATAAAATAATGAAAAAATTATATGTAGAAATAGCTAAAATGATCATCTAGAGTACCTTCAGCCAATACAGTCATAAAAGTAACTCCAACTTTACTTTTTTTGCTTAGGGAAAAGCGCTAAATAGACTCTCCTACTATCCCGAAATCGTCAACTAAGCCCGTCTACTTTAAAAAGGGTCATATTAATCCGTTTAGTATTTGTAAAGAATCTAATAGGTCCAGATGACCGAAAAACGACCCATTATTCCCAGTTTAATCTGACGTGGACTGGTGCATATGCTAAATGTGGAACTTTTTCCACGTCAGGACCCGGTGGCAACTCAATAGAAGGTGCAAAAAGCTAATGTTCTTTCACCATCGTACAATTTGAAATTAGGGTTCTTCAAAAAGCTAATGAGATCTCCCCCGTCTGGTCATCTGCGAGAAAGTCCAAGGATTATATTTCTGGTTGTGGAGAAGGAGACCATAGGCATCTAGAAGTTCAGATTTTTTGGATTTGAATAGAGCGAAAGTAAAGACCGGCCATCTTCACGAAGCTCAGGTAAGTGACCTTAACGTGTTTTGACTTTGACAATGGCAGTCATCTTCCTTAACATTATTATTTATTTTCAGAATGTATAAAGTAGCAGATTTGAAAATACATCATGGCGGAAATTTAAAAAAAAAACACCAGAACTTTCTTATGTGAATGGTGAAGTGGGTACTATTACATTGGACCTGAATATGATTTCATTTCCTCGTCTCATGAAGTTTATCACTGATAATTCTTATAAAAAGGTGGAATCTTTATCCTTCAAATTACCTGATGAGAACTCCAACAAGTTAAGACCATTATGGAATGATGCTTCAACCTTAGAGCTAATAGATTTAGCCATGAACTGGGGCACAATTGATATTTTTGTGGAGCATGGCATAGATGAGTCTGAACTTATTTCACTCTTACCTTCGCCTTCAACTGAAGAAGTGAACAGAGATGTGCTAGGTGAAACAGAGGAAACATCTGTAGTGCAAAAAGAAAATAGAGGCGTGGACAGAGATAGAAGTCCAGATTTGGACAGTCAGTTTGGGGATGATGGCTCTGATTGCAGCGTTTATTATGACTCCAATGACCCCCCTAGTTCTGCTGCAGACTCTCAAGAAGAGGACTACGTTTCTGAGGAGCATCCCAAACGGAAGAAGACATTGAAGAAGCCATGTTATGATCCTAAAGCTGAATCACACGAGCTCGAAGTGGGGATGTTATTTGATGATGGGAATCAATTTAAGAGTGCCTTGATCAATTATGCAGTGCAAAATAAAAAGGATGTAAGGTGGATTAAGAATGAGCCTTTAAGAGTTCAAGCCGGATGTTGGCTAATTGTCCTTTTAAGTGCACAACTTCATGGTCTAACACGTACAAATGTGTCCAGCTTAAGACTTGGGATGGTACACACAAATGTAATGACAAATTCAAATTGAAGATAGTTAGTCAAACTTGGCTTGAAGAGAAATATGAGGATAAAATCAGGGATAATCCTTGCATTCGTAAAGTTGAGCTGCATAAACACATCCGGAGTGACTTAAATATACATGTCAACATTTCTAAGGTGAAGAGGGTGATAGTCAGGGTGTTGAAAAAGGTCAATGCATCATTCGGGGAACAATTACGAAGAGTGAGAGACTATGCACTAGAGTGTATGCGCTCAAATCCTGGTAGCACTGTCATTGTGAAGACAAATAGGATTGTTGAAGATGGTCCTGAAGTGTTTCAGAGGATGTATGTTTGTTTTGGAGCTCTTAAGAGAGGTTTCTTAGCAGGTTGTCGAAATATCATAGGTCTAGATGGAAGTTTTCTAAAAGGGATGCTTAAAGGTGAACTACTAAGTGCAGTGGGTAGGGATGGAAACAATGAGATGTACCCTATAGCATGGGTCGTGGTGGAAATGGAGAACACCGATTCGTGGAGATGGTTTCTAGATTTACTAAAACATGATCTCCAAATCGACAACATGTACCATTGGACTTTCATGAGTGATCAAGAGAAGGTTTTAATTCATTCTCATTTCATTTAGTCAAGCCATTCTGCCCTTAAGTGTTTTAATTATTCACTAACATCATTCAATTCTGTAGGGACTGATGACTGCAATAAAGGAGTTATTCCCTAATTCCGAGCAGAGAAATTGTTGCAGACATATACATGCCAATTGGAGTAAGAAGCATACATGTCATGTCATGAAGATGCACTTTTGGAATTGTGCAAGATGCACCACAGAAGCACAGTTGAAAGAACAACTTCATGCGCTTGGAAAAATTAATTCTAAAGCTAAGGCGGATTTAGAAAGATTTGACAGCCATCAATGGTGTAAAGCTTTCTTTAGGACAGATGTGAAGTGCGATATTCTGGACAATAACTTATCTGAGGCATTTAACAACACAATTGTCAAAGCTCGGTCCAAGCCAATCATCCCGATGCTAGAAGCCATCAGAATAGCTACAATGAAGAGGATAGCAAAAAAAATTGCATTTGGTAGTAAGTGGGTTGGTAACCCTGGGCCTCAGATCATGAAGAAGTTAAATTCAAATATCGGATCTGCCGTAAAAAAATAACCATTGTTATTCATATCAGAAATTGCCCTAAATAGGAGTAAAAACGTTTTGAAATTCCAAAATAGGACTATCATGTTTTTTATTTCTTGAATATGAGTAATCTGCCAAATTTGGAAAAAAATGTATGTTCAAAGCCTAGTAATACCAAACCTGGCATAAATTTACTCTTATTCAAGGAATAAAAAACATGATAGTCCTATTTTAAAATTGCATTTGGCAGTAAGTGGGTTGGTAACCATGGGCCTCAGATCATGAAGAAGTTAAATTTTCCTAGAAAGGAGAAAGATCTAACAAAGAAATCCTCTTCAGTCAACGTATGGTTGAAAAAAGTCAGCCATAACTAAACACCATTAACACCTAACAACCTCAAAAAAATAGACTAATCCTTCTTTCTTCATTGTTTGGGGCTAAACGTTCTGTATTGATGCCAACCCTTTAGCTCGATTTGCGTGATCTGCCGCCGCTGACGACGGCGAAACGATGGGATCCACCACCGATACGTCAGCGGCTTCCTCCATCGTCACCACCTCTTCCCACCAACCTCCCTCCCACCATATCTTGGAAATCACCCTCATCTCCGCCCAAGATCTGGCCCCCATTTCCAAATCCCAGCGCACCTACGCTCTAATCTGGGTCAACCCGAACAAGAAACGGAGCACCAATATCGATCCCAAAGGGCACACCAATCCCACGTGGAACCACAAGTTCTCGTTCCGGGTCGACGACGAGTTCCTCGGGTCCGAGGCCTCCGCCGTGAACGTCGAGATCTACGCCGTCGCCTGGTTCCGGGACATCCTCATCGGAACGGTTCGCTTAAACGTTAACAACATTTTGACGCCTCCCTCGCCGGGCATAGTTAGCGATGAGAAGAAAACCGAGAGATTCATGGCTCTTCAGATCCGCCGGCCGTCCGGCGACCCTCAGGGGATGCTCAACATGGGGGTTGCCCTGTTCGACGCAGCCACGCGCAGCAAGCCGATCTGCAGCGACGTCAGCGCGTCTTCCTCGGATTGCAGAGATCTTCTGGAAAAGAAAATGAACAAGTTCCTCACAGGGGATAAGATCTCCGACGAGTTCCAGGCGAATCCGGGCTCGGTCTGTGCGGGATCTGCCGTGAACGGATCGGTGATGTGCGGCGGATCCGAAGTCTGCTCGGACATCGGGCCGTCGGCATCCGTCGTGGCGGCGGAGATAGCCATGAAGTCCAACCCGCTGGCAGAGCAGCCTAACGCCGGACCCCAGAGACGGAAGGGCGGGGGAGAATGCGGAGAGAGTGTGATATTGGAGGAACTGACGGCCGAGGAAGCGGCGGCGAAAGGGATGACGAATCAGCCGGAGGTTGTGAAGAAGAAGGGACACCTGTTTTCGTGCTTCGGAAATGCCTACGGTTTTGAGGTCACCATTGTTTGCGGCGCAAGAAAAAAACAGAAAAGCGATTAATATTCCGACAGAGAGATCCAATTTTTTAAGATTTTTTTGTCTGTTTTGTTTTTATAGTGAACCAAACAAACATCAACCCTCCTCCGGCCGGGCTAGTGGCCTCCGGCGTGCAGATCGGAGAACGAGTCGGCGACTGTTTTTTCTTCTTATGAAACTCTGACTTGATGATTGTTTGTTATTAGTATAGCATTATTAAGAATCAATCAGTAGGTATTTATACGGAGCCATTGGTAGAGGTTAATTCCCTCTTGCAATACTAATCTATTACACAACCTCATTAGCCATTATTGTGGTATATAATATCATCTCATCCTATGCTATAATAACACTCAAATTAACTAAATCGTTTCAATATGTTACACTCAATGAAATTGTGATCGGAAAAGGTCGACTTTGATGAATTTACTGAATTATTATAGAAAAATTACATTTAAAATATACTCCCCCGTCCCTAAAAGGATTGACAAGTTTGACTGGCACGTAGAATAATAAAGCAAAAACTGTGTGGTAGAGATTTATGCAGAGGAGGGAAAAATAACAGGAGCCACAAATTGATTGATTAAAAGGGAAAGTGACAAAATTTTTTGGACAACCAAAAAAGAAAAGTTGGCAAAGTTAAAACGTGGAAGTTGGTGTTAAGGAAGTTGGTGTTGAAAGTGGAGGTGGTTTGCGTTTGGATGTATCTACTCGATGGAATTCCACGTATGAAATGCTCGAGAGTGCTATTAGGCATCAACGCGCATTTAGTAGCTTAAAACTGAATGATCCAAATTATAAGTGTTTTCCTTCTCCTGATGAACGATGAACGGAAAAGAGGTCAAAGAATTTGTGAGTTGTTGGAGCCATTTAATGAAATTACCAAATTGTTTTATGGGTCAAGCTATCCTATTTCAAATTTGTATTTCATGCATGTTTGGAAGATCGAATGTTTGCTGAAAAAGAATATTATTTCCGATGATCAAAAAATCAAAGATATGACATGTGATATGTTGGTAAAGTTTTCCAAATATTGGGACCAATATAGCACCATCCTTGCAATGGGGGATGTTCTGGATCCGAGAATGAAGTTTGAGTTGTTAGAACATTGTTTTAACAAACTGGATCCGAGCACTTGTCAAGATAAGTTAATTCATGTGAAAGAAAAGCTGTATTTTCTCTTTGAACAATGCAAGAGTAAATTTGTGTCTGCTACTTCTTCGAATGCAACTCAACCTACGCAAGAAAGTGTCTCAACACAACAAGGCAAAGGCTTTTCTATTTTCAATGTAAGTTCTAATATTTTTATTATTATTTTACTGGTAGTGTTATAGTTTTATAATTTTATAATAATTTCTTTTTTTGTGAAATGGCTCGGGAAATTCTTGCATTTGAGAGCCAGAATATAGTTGATAGTGGCAAATCATCTTTGGATATGTACTTGGAAGAAGGGAGGTCTGAGATGAAATGCTTTTATGATATGGATGTTTTGCAATATTGGAATGACCGTAAAATGCGATATGGTGACTTAGCATTGATGGCATGTGATGTGCTTAGTATTCATATGTCGAAAGTGGCATCAGAGTCGGCTTTTAGCATTGGTTCTCGTGTTTTGACTAAGTACAGAAGTTGTATTCTTCCTACACATGTCCAAGCATTGTTGTGCACTTGTAATTGGTTAAAGGGCTATGAAGTTCACGAGGATGGTAATTTCATTTAATATCTTATTCTGATTTTATTCTTTCTAATTATGCAAGTGTTGGATTTAAATCGGATAATTTACTATGTATAGATGACGGGAGCATTGGAGAGGATTAGATTCACAACTTGAGTAATGAGTATGCATTTCTTCTCTGAGCTCTTCTTTTGATTGAGTTTTTCCCTCCCAGAAACTGTCCATTTGTAATGTGTTAGTTCATGCATGAAACTATCCTCTGATTGAATTTTCCCTCCGAGAATATGTCTATTGTTTCTTAGTTTATAAATTATCAATGTATTAGTTCATGCATGAAATTATCCATTTGTATTGCATCTTGTATATCCACATGGTTGATTTTGCACTCCCACATTACATGTCTTTGCCCACTGTTTTGTACTTGCTCAGTTGCTCTCTGCATATAATATTGAACTATAACATCTACCAAAAATATTGTTAATTTTCATTTATTATTTTAAATTGGTTAATTTACTATGTACAGATGATGGGATCATTGGAGAAGGTTTAGGTCCACAACTTGCTGGAAATTGATATGGAGATGGATCAATTATTAAGAAAATCACTTGGAGATGGATTAGTTGCTTATAAAAGCAAGACTACAAGAGTGATGTGATTTTATAATTTTTATTGTAATGCAAACTTATGATGTTTTGTTTGAAGTTAATTTAGACAATTTGGATGTGTGTTTTGCATTTTGATATCGACAATGGTTTTTGGACTTATGAAGAAGTTATCTATTTAAACATATTAGATTTTATTGGAATTAGTTTAGATAGTTTAATTTTTAATGCAATTTTGGCCCGCTGTTTGACCCGTGAAACCCACTTATTAGTTTGGCCCGGTAAACTCTCTAAATGGGCTGGCCCGTGGGCTGACCCGTTTAACCCACGGGTTACGTGAGTCGGGTTAGGGTTGGAGAAATCCTGACCCGTTATTAAACGGGTTTGCCCGAATCAACCCACTTAAACCATAACCCGTCACGGGTCGGGTCGGGTCGGGTCGGGCCGTTTGACAGCTCTACTGGTCCTTCTTAATGAACTAGTTTAATAACGCGCGTTGCGCGTTCGTGGTAATGTCCAAGACCTTTTTAGGGACAACAATATCTCGGTTTACGTTCAGTGAATATATTAGACAAATGTAGATGGTGGTCTCAACATCGGACAACTTGGACTCTCATACTGTATTAAAAGATTAAATTCAGGATAACGTGATACAAAAATCAAATGACTTATATGCTAAATTTGTTTTGAAGTAGCATGACCTGACAATCAGGACAACAAGTATTGGAACATGGAGTAGTATATGTGATGGATAGTGTACCCGGGGGGTAGCCTATCCGAGGGGTTATTACGGGGAATAACAAGAGAGAAGTCAGAGCAAGTAAGTATAGAGAGAGAAAGTATATTAGCGAGTATTCAGCGTGTTGTGACTTGGTTACAAATGGGGAAATGGGGTGCTATTTATAGTAGCAATAAATGCCGGACAGGGACACGTGTCAAACGTCCATTGGCCGAGAGGTCACCTCAACTGGTTGGCGCCGGCAAACGCATGTGGCCGCATTTAATGCGGCTGTCTGATGGGACGTTGTACAGGGTACGGTGATCCATACGCATGTGGAGCGGATATTATGTCGGAAAAGGCGCCCTCGGCGGTAGATGACTAGCCGAGGGCTCTGAGTACCGGGGACCCCCTTAGTGTCGAGGGCTCCAACTGCCGAGGGCTACTGATTTTCGCCGTTTTTCTCAGTAACTTTGTTTTCCTGTCTTGGCCCTCCTGTGAGAGTTAGAGCCTTCGGCCAGGGGGCCGAAGGCACCCCTGGTGCGCATTGTGGGCTGCTTGGTACTTTGGGCGCGGTGATTTGGGCCTGTTGTGCTTTCTGGGCCTGTTGGGCCTTCATTGGAGCAGTAGGAGTCTGTGGGCCGGGGGTTCCTGGGCCATATACTCCATCAAGAGTCCCTCACTCCTTTTTCCGAAAGGTACTTGAGGGAAAAGGAGTAATTGTGTTTGTCCTCTGCCGTTGTTCCGTTGTAGTTTGTAGAGTTGTGGTTAGTTTGCTGTTTGTTTATTCTGCTGAGGGCAGTCCCTCAGTTACCCACATGTCGGGACTTGAGGGGTCATGTTTGTGATTTTTGTGATTTTTCCCGAGGGGGGTTCTCCAGTCCCCCACTCCTTGAGGCACTTGCAAAGTGGTGAAAAGGAGTAGAGTAGTTGCGCTGCTGTTTTGGGCCGAAGGCTTACGCTTTTCGTTTCATTTTGGGGGGATGCCTCGTTAAAAACCTCATTAGGAAAAACCCTGTGGGAAAAAATCCTAATGAGGGAAAAAGAGTGCACCGAATTCCCCCAACGATGAATCGAAAATGTGAAACCTTGGTTCGAAATGGAGAATAATGCTGATGCCGAAGGCTTTCCTTGGTCTGAGGGCTCATGTGTTGATTAGCCGGGGGCATGCTGTTGATTTCTTGGGAGGTGCCGAAGGGGAGTCCCTCAATCTGGGGATCGAGGGCGTCATGAATGTGAGTAGTAGTTGAAGTGTCACCGGGGTGCCCCCTGTTTGTTGTTCAGTTGGGGAGAAGGGTATCCGAGGGCACCCGTTACCTGTGTGCTGTAGACTACTTGTTAATGAGGCGTACTCCCCGGGGGCTACCCGACCCTCAAAGTGCTGAGGGGGGATCCCCGAGGGGTGGGCCTGTTATGAAGCCGGGGGCTTCTGAAGGAGTGATCCCGAAGGCATTTGTCATGTACTGTGTGGGGCACAACCCGGGAGCGTCTCTGGGTAAGTGAAGTAAAAACCCGGGGGCCAGTTTATTGGTTGATGAAGGAGTGGTCTGCCAAGTGTAGCCGGGAGCTCCCAGAATATAGCCGTTGGAAATATAGCCGTTGGAATATCTAACGTCAGAATATAGCCGTTGGGGGGGGGGGGGGGTTGCCACGTGGTGTGTGCTTGTTGGCTGCCCGTGGGCGGGCGTCACCGATTGGGCGAAGCCACGGTTTGTAATGATGGCAGTCCAACCGGAGGCCCGGTTTCCAGGCCCAAGCCCGGATCCCAGCGCCTATAAATACCCATGGCCGGCTTCACTTCCCATGTGCGATTTATCCGTTAGCGAAGCTCTGCCAAAATCCCTAGAGAGAGAAACATCCGCCTTCGATCAATCCCCGCTTTAAGGTCAGTTCCCCATCTGTTCTTCTCCCTCCTTAGCTAGCTGTAGCGGCCTTAGATCTAGGAGTTGTAACTTAGAAAACTTAGTGTTTCCGAGCCCTCGAACCAGTGCAAAGATGTCTTCCCAAAGTGATTCCCAGGACATCTCGGGGGCGCCCTCGATGGAGGATGAAGTCAACTCGGACGTGGAGTCCTCAAGCGAACAGTCCTCGGCCCAGGAGGATGTCGCGATGGCGGTGGAAGTGCAGAAGGAGTTGGTGGCCGAAGTCGAAGCCGAGGGCTTTGAGCAAGAGGCGGAGGATGAAGAGCTTGCCCTCGCCGTACAAGTTGCAGAGGAGGAGGAAGAGAAGGAGAGGCTGAGGGTGACCGTGGCTGTTCTTCCCCCTCGGGGTGCTGGTGAGGCTGGGAGCTCTCGGCCCCTCAACCCGACGCCGATAAGAGTGGCGCCCGGGGAAAAACATGAGAAGAAGAAAACC